AAAAGTTTGGAGAAAGGCTTTTTGAAGCGTTTTTCCCACAGACGGCGCCAAATGATGTAGCACAATCCGGTCACTCCTAGCTGGGCGTGGCTCCTGGAAGACACCTGAGATGGGGAAGAGTAAGAAGAATCCCTTGGGGGTTTGCCCGACGGGGACACTCCGATGCTTAAGTCAGTACTTGGTAGAAGCAAGGAAAAGGTGAAAGGATAAGAGTGCAGATAGCGCGTTACCACTATATTCAAAAGATCAGAAGTTCCAAGAGAAGTTCCTCCCCTGCCGTGAGGGCTTTTATAGGGGTGTTCGTGTCAGGTCGGGCACAACCGCCACTGGGCTCCTGCCACAGTCGTTACCTGTCAGGACCGCGCAGGCAGCCGTTATGAGGTAGCTTTCGCCTAGGTTAGTGACACGTCCCTGAATAGGCAGGCACGCCTCCGCCTGCCCAGAGATGTGGATGCAGACTGTCGAAAGGACAGGGACTGCGCCGTCAGTAAGGAAAGTGACGCTGTCTGATCGGTACGGCCTGTCAGATAGAAGCTTCTTGAGAAGCGCTCATGCGGCTTGTCCCCGAGCTACTTTGTAGCGGGCTCGGGGTGCTTCAGGATCACCCTTAGTAAAATTGGTCCCTGGGATGACTTATCTGTTCGGGGGCTCGGTTGAGCTAGTTTCTCTAGCTCGTGAGCTGAAATTGCCTCGGAATATCCTTTTCGTGGTAGCTCGGGGAACCCGGAGCTCGCGTTGTGGTGAGCCTCTTTTCCTGTGAACTACGGTGTAGCGAGCTGCTCTGAGGGCTCGTTACTTTTTCGTGCGGAGCCACGATGTTGAGCTATTACCTGTGCTGAATCAAGTCCACGTGTCATCATTTCATAAGTCGGGTCAAACCATCATCCATCAGGCACCTTCTATTCAGAGTTGAAATCTACCAATAAAACATGTTCCAACTCTCTACCAACTTGATCTAATGCACTGTACATTTCACTATGAGGCTGAGACTTGCCATAAAAGTGGGGTCCGCCATATATGAGATGTGTACATGGTGTGAGATTTTGTTGGTAGAGGGTTGGAATGTGTTCTGTTGACAGGTGATCCGGACGTATTCAGGCTGATAGCCAAAGCTTTGACCCCTCTTATTTGGTGTCTTACCACCCATGATAGAAGACATCCAGACACATGGCGCAGTCACCTTCCATCAAAAAGTCTATGCCAACGATTGAAAGAGTCTAGCTTGATGAGCAGGAGGGGTTGGGGGTGAAGATTTTAGAATAACCCACTTCAATAAATACATGCTAAAGATGGCAACACCTCTGCACATGTTTTCTTATTACTGTAAACATGGGATTCTATGTCGTTTCGCCACAGATGTATCTGATTCAGCAAAGATGGAAAGTAGCCAAAGCTCACCTTATATTAATCTACTGTTTAGTTTGTCATTTACTAATTTGAACCCGCTATAATCCTTCTGGAGAGGACTTGGAGTTAAAGTTGGCTAATTCATCCTAGGGCAGAATTAAGAATACCAGCTTAAAAGGGTTTAAGGGAACAATTTTAGTTAGCTAGGTTTCATCTTCAGAAAGAAAAATCAAAGGGAAAGTTATATTTGCTAGTGGACCCTGTCTTCCGTAATTTTAGTGTCATTAAGAGCAAAAGCATAGGTCCAGACTTACTACCTATAAAAAATTAACCTGATGATTAAATGATGTTAATTTTCCATAGAATTGCTTTTTTCCTTTTGAATGGTCTTTATTTAATCCTTCCAAAAGAACTGGAATGATTAATGAACAAAAGACACTTCATATAGTCCATCTTTCTCAATGGCGTTCTATTGACATCCTTTTGCAACTGATATTGCTTAATTTATATTTCTCATCAACCTATAATTTCATGCATCTTCGCTTTGGCTTTACTTTTTCCTTTTATGCCTCGGAAGCACACAATGTATAGTTCTTTCCTAGTGTTGGTAATATTGAAATTTATCCTTAAGGGGGCATTCTTTTTCTAGATTTTGAAAGGGTGAAAGTTGGTCAATCAGATTTTGATTCCCATTGACCAAAAAATACATATTTTTTTTTTCGGATTTATATGGGGATTAAGGAAAGTTTATTTTTCCGGGTATACCCATCTCCTAGGTGGGTAAATAATTTTACCATTTGGAGGAAAAGTTAACACTTGAATGAGACAAAAATGCCCCTTTAATATTGGATTTTTATGGTTAAAATGGTCATTACCATATTTACATGGGAAATAAAAGAACATGGGCAAATACACTTACTCAGGTAAGGATTTCCTGGAAAACACTTACCTGGGTAAATAACTTACCAAAAAGTGAAGGGAGCCTAAGTACACTTAGGCAGGTAAATGTTTTCTTGTTAAATTCACTTATCCATGTTTATTTAATTCTCATATAAATAATAAAATTCCATTTTTACCCATAAAAATTAATATTAAAATGGATAAAATTGTCATACCATGTTGTGCAAGGTGGTTAAATAACTTCCTCACATTTTACCATGGAGCCCATTCTAAGGAACAACTTCAATAGGCACATATATACATGTATTTGCCAAATAAATAAATTGATAAAATCATAAAATAAATATTAGGTTGGCATTAGGGTTCTTAACTTCTTTGTTGGAACTTCCGCTTATATTGGTGGTAGGAAAATAAGACATAGTATTGTTGCTTCAACCTTCCTTTGCATTTAGAGAGCACAACAGTTTAACATTCAAAACAGAAAGCATCCAGTAATGAATGTTTATTTAGAGAAGATGACAATGGAAATATTATACCATGGCCAACCTTTTCTAATCCTAGGTCTATCTTCATTTGCCATGAACAAGCTAGCTAGCATAGAACAATGCAGCTCATTCTATATTAACGCGCATATATTAGATGAACTTTAGTTCACGGACCGGAAACTGTGAACCAGTTCCGACATGAGGCACCACCGTCTGATCATCTCCACCACGATGGTCTTGTCCAGATGGTTTCATATCTTCCATGAACCAGTTTTTCCTTTGCAATGCTTCTATCACCATGGACACCTCTGATCCTCTCTTCTCCTTCGCCTCTGGACGCCAAACGCTCCTCTCATCAACCCCGATGTGTTGCGAAGCTGTCTTCCTAAGTTGTTGAATCCTCTCGTCGATTAACTTCATCTTCTCATCGACTAACCGTGCCATATCGTTCAGATCCTCGACGCTCATACTCTGCAAATCCTTACCTGCCAAGCTCTGGTTCATGAGCAGTGTCATCTCATTGACCCTGTTCTTCTTCTTCTTCCTCTCCAGCATCCTCTTCAATCTGTGTATGCTCTGCCTTAGGAATTCTTCCTGGTTCATCATCCTCCTCCTTTTCTCCATATCAGGCATGGTATGAAACCTTGAGAGCACCTGACAGGCATCCTGTGGGGATGGCCAAACATCCGGCTTGGTGTCATAGGGACCATAAATGATCGCACAAGCACTAACCCCACATAGGCTGCCAAGTTCTTGCACTTTCTTGAACAGATTTTTCTTCCTTTTCTTGAAGCTAGTTTTCCTATTACAGGGGTCGGCAATCTGTTCAAGTTTAACCTTTCCCCTTGGTCCTCCTGACCCCCTCGCCATGACTAGGACAGACTGTTGGAAAGGGAAATGGGGTGATAGGTTTTCTGGGGTGTTTTGTCTGTAACAATGGCGTTAAATATAGAGGCGAAGAGACATGAAAGAATATCAGTAGAAGATATTCTTGGAGACTACCAAAGAAAGCAGTAGAGGTAGAGATTAATATAGGCAGTTTTGATGTGAGAAGGGTGTAGGTTAAGAATCTCTGAGTGGAAAGAGATGAAATACGGTTAGTCATTAAGTAGGTCTGTAGGTGGGTTTGTTGGAGGATTCTTTTTCGCTGCAAGTTTGTTGGAGGATAGAATTTGCTTTACTAGGACAGGCCATTTTTCCTTAATTAGTATTCTAAGAAAGGACAGAGACCGTGGGCCTTGCAAGGGTGTGCACAATTACACCTTATACACAAATTTATGTACAGAGAGAGAGAGAGAGCTTGTGACCTAAAATCGAATTAGTGAAGCAATTTTCGGAGTGGGCGTATCTACATTCAAATTTCAAAATACCAAGAATTACTTGTTTCCATGATGGGCTGTTGTCTCATGCAATTTACCCTCCCCCTACGGTACACAGCCTATGATTAGAAAGGGTTCGATGGCGGAAAGACATGATAGTGGAAAAATATAACACATCTGCATTAGGGTGCAGGGCCTCAACTCGAGCCCCATGAGATCCAATCCGAAATTTTGCATGAGTTGGGCCCCAGTTTTTGGGCTTTGGGTTGGGCCTGGGCCAGAAAAATTGGGCCCAACCTGAACTTGGATTGGGCTTGAGTTGACGTACATCTTGGATAGCCCGAATCTACCTGAAGAAATATATGCATATAGTCCTTTTTTATCACATAAAATATCTTTTCCAATTATATATAAACACTAGCGAGATTTGTGCGATGCACGGTGTTTGTTAAGTTAAAGATAAACAATAGAGACATGTAAGAGTATACAATTGTTTTATATAATAATTAATAGTCATTTATATTTTATATACTACTTTCAATAATTTTTTTACAATACAAAAGTAACAATAATTAATTTTATATAGGATTGTTTATCAAACTTATAAGGAATGGCAATTTTTTCCATTTCCCTGATCCTTGTGGAGATCTACCCCGAATGGGGCGAATGACGCAGAACGGAAACGAAACACGTGAGAGAGAAAAGAGCAGAAGTCAAATTTTAGGAAGAAGAATTCTTCACTAAACAATTAAATGAAAATTGATAACAAGAGAACTGCCTTGGCCTTCCCCTAGCTACTCTTTATATAGGCATACACCCTTATGTCACCTAATCTGAAAAAACTCCATAATAGAATCCTATTAAAACTCCTTAAAAAATTAAATCCTAATCTAAGAAAACACTCCAAAATATAATCATACTAAAATCCTTTAAAAGGAAAGTCCTATTTGAATATAAATTTGAAGTAATGTTATCTTGGTAAAAACGAACTAAGATGGAAACTCTGAGATGACGCCAACTTGGTAAAAATGTACTAAGATAGAATTCCTGTGATGATGCTATGTCGGTAAATATTTACTAAGCTGGGTCGGTGGCATCATTTCTGCTTCTTATGTGTCTTGGAATGGTCACAACTTGCATAGAACTTTTCGACCTTCTCTTGTATTGCATCATCCTCCCCGAGTTGGGGAGAATTTATCATCGGATTCAAGTCATCATCTGACTAACCACCAACATAAGGTACTAAGTGTTTGACATTGAAAATATCATGAGTACATATATGGCTAGGTAGCTTTTTTCTATACGCATTCTCATTGATGACTTCGATTATCTCGCATGGTCCAACATTCCTTGGTGCTAGCTTTCCACGTTGCCCAATCGATAGACAGCCCTCTGTTAAAATGGCCAAGCATAGTCTCCCGTATCAAATACTACTTTCCTCCTTTTTCCTTCAATATATTGTTTGTACTTGGCATTGACTACCTCCATCTTGTTGTCGACTTCTTCTTGGAGGTTCTTAATCTCCTATACCATATCATTAGCCCTGTCATGAATTAAGCTTGACCAAGTACTAGTAGCAAGGTCAATGACGCTACGGGGGTTGGCTCCATATACTACCTCAAATGGATTGTATCCGGTACTCCTGTTTTTGGACCTATTGAAGGTGAACTCAGCTTATGATAATAAGAGATCCCATTGTCGTTCATGGCTAGCTGCAAGGGTTCTCAAAAGATTCCCAAAACTCCTATTGGCTACTTCGGTTTGGCCATCTGTTTAAGGAAGATATGAATTGCTGAATTGTAATGAGGTACCCATTAGCTTCCAAAGACTTCTCCAAAAGTGTGATATGAACTTGTAGTCTCTATATGAAGTAATTGAAAATGGTAAGCCATGGAGTTTGGCAATCTCCTTGAGGAATAAACTAGCAATAAGTAAGGCATCCATTGTCTTCTTACATACCACAAAGTGAGCCATTTTTGAAAATCGGTCTACGACCACCATTATGGAATCTACTTGTCGGTGGGTACATGACAACCTAAGAACGAAGTCCATAGATATATCTACCCAAAGTCCTTTAGGAACTAGGAGGGGCATGTATAATCCAACATTGGTTATCGTTCCCTTAGAAACTTGGCATATGTGGCAACACTCTACAAACCTTGTGATGTCTCTTGTCATCTTAGGCCAAAAGTAACTTGCTGAGATGAGATGAATTGTTTTGACTCTCCTAAAATGTCCTTCATTGTGAAGCTCTTTGACGATTTTTAGTTTCCATGAGAAATCAGGTATACATAGGCAGGTTCCCTTGAATAGGAAGCCGTCATATGTCACAAAGTTTGTCCTACTACCTGCTTGCACTTCCTCTATGATACCAACAAATTAAATAAGGATCGGTGAAAAATAATTCACAGAAAGTATCAAACCCCGGTACCTATGCTTGAAACGTGGATAACATGGCTCCCCGTCGGCTAAACGTATCCACTACTTGATTGTGCACACCTAACTTGTGTTTAAGCACAAACAAATACTCTTGGAGGTATGCGGCCCATTTAGCATGCCTTGCATTCAACTTATGTTGGGCCCCAATATGCTTAAGTGCCTCATGATCTAAATATATGATGAACTCTTTATAAATGAGGTAATGTCGCCAACACCAGAGCGGTTGTACCACAACATAGAATTCCACATCATAGGTTGAGTAGTTGAGGCGTGATCCATTCAATTTCTCGCTATAGTAGGCTATGGGCCAGCCACCTTGGCTAAGAACAGCACCGGTTCCAACCTTAGAGGCATCACAATCAACGTCAAAGGGTTGCTCAAAGTTGGGAAGGGCTAGCACGGGTGCAACTGTTAACCATGCCTAAATCTCAATGAAGGCTCTCTTTGCTTCAGTGGTGAACACAAAATTGGGTGTATCTTTCATACAATCTATATATGGTGTCATAACAGTGCTGAAGCTGCTAATGAATCGCCGGTAGAAACTTGCAAGACCATGAAAATTTTGTGCTTCAGTAAGTGTTTTGGGGATGGGCCACTCAACAATGGCACGAACCTTCTTTATATCTACAGAAACTCTTTCCCTTGAGATGATATACCCAAGGAATAAGACCTGATCTTTGGCAATAATACACTTTTTCATGGTTACTTAAAGTTGCTCCCTATGCAAATTCATAACTATATCTCGAACATGCAACAAATGAGAGTTCATATCAATGCTATATATGAGAATATCATCAAAATATACCATAGCACACTGACCAATAAAAGGCTTGAGAACCTGGTTCATGACTCTCATGAATGTGCTTGGTGCATTGGATAAACCGAATGGCATTATTAGACATTTATACAAACCATCATGTGTCTTGAATGTTGTCTTCCACTCATCACCAAGACGAATTCTGATTTGATGCTAGCTTGATTTCAAATCCAACTTAGTGAACACCTTGGCCCTAAAAAGTTGATCCAACATGTCATCCAAGCGTGGAGTCGGAAATTGGTATTTGACGGTTATCTTATTAATTGCCCGTTTGTCAACGCACATCCTCCAAGTACCATCCTTTTTGGGTACTAATAAAGTGGGAACCGCGCATGGACTCATACTCTATCGTATGACCCCTTATTAAGCAACTCATTTACTTGCTTTTGCAACTCCTCATGTCTAGTGGGACTCATTTTGTAATGGGCCTTGTTGGGGAGATTAGCACTTGGCGTTAAATCTATGCAATGTTGGATATCCCTTAATGGTGGTAATCCTGTCGATAAATCCTCGGGAAATACATCACTAAATTTATCAAGCAAAGGCCTCACCTCCTCTGGAGCCTCCACACCTTTCAGCTCAAGTCCCTTGTCGATCAAAGCATACGCAACACCGGTCTCTTTTAAGGCACTTGTGAATTCAGTCATACCAAAAAGGCTAGAACCCTCATCGGGTTTCGGTTTAGTCTCTTGTGATGGACATAAGGTCAGCTTTTTCCCTTTAAACTCAAAAGAGTAGGTATTCTTTCGTCCGTCATGGACTACGTAGTGATCAAATTGCCATGGGCGCCCAAGTAGCAAATGGTAGGCATCCATGCATACAACATCACACCACACAAGATCACTATAATTGTTGCCAATAGAAAAGCTCACTAGACACCATTGTGTGACTAAAACCTCATTCTCTCTTTTTAGCCATGCAAGCTTCTAGGAGTGATGGTGTTGTTAATATTTTAGGTTCAGCTTGTGGACGACTACTTCCGCTACAACATTCTCACAACTCTCGCTATCAATTACAAGACTTGCAACTTTCCCACCCATTGTACATGTGTTGTGGAAAATATTATTTCTTAGCCAATCCAGTGATTCATCCCTAGGAATTAGGAATGACCGTTGCAATACCAAAGCCTTTCCCACATCCCCATACACCATTTATCCTTAAAAGGTTTCTTCATTATAAGAGTCAAATACGGGTGGGGCTGAATAGTCAAATGCTTCTAATTGGATTTCACTCTCATCTTCTACAAACATTGCCCATTTTCTTTTATAACCCCTCACACATTCAACAGATTTATG